ATTTACAGCATGACCTGTATTAAATAATGATCATTTACAGCATGACCTGTATTTAAAACGATCAATTACAGCTGACCTGTATCAAATAACGAGCATTTTTACAGCATGACCTGTAAACAATTTATGCAAAATTCACAGCATAATTTGGTATAATTGTCGCATTACTCACAGCAAAACCTGTGTTAAAAAAACCTATGGTAAATTATGTAACATTCACAGCATTACCTGTGTTAAAACATGCAACATTCACAGCATTACGTGTGTTAAAACATGCAACATTCACAGCATTACCTGTGTTAAAACATGCAACATTCACAGCATTACCTGTGTTAATTCACAGTATTACCTGTGTTAAAACATGCAACATTCCCAGCATTACCTGTGTTAAAACATGCAACATTTACAGCATCACTTGTATTTAAGTATGTATAAATTACAGCATAACCTGTATTTAAGTATGCATAATTTACAACATAACCTGTATACAAGTATGTATAATTTACAGCATAACCTGTATTTAAGTCTGTATAAATTACAGAATAACCTGTATTTAAGTATGCATAATTTACAACATAACCTGTATACAAGTATGTATAATTTACAGCATAACCTATATTTAAGTCTGCACAATTTACAGCATAACCTGTAATTAAGTATGAATAATTTACACAATAACCTGTGTTTAAGTATGCTTAAGTATGCATCGTTTATAGCATCATTTACAGCACAATCTGGGTTAAAGTATGCATCATTTACAGTGCATGTACCACCAACATTAATGATCCCATCATTTACAGCCTTGACTGTTTACGAGTGCGGATACTTTACACTGTGCATCATTTACACCAAAGCCTGTACTAAAGTTAATTCATTTACAGAATAACTCACACTGCATCATTTTAGCCCACAAGGTGCAGAAGAGTAGGACGTAAAACTCCATTCATTTCATTTCATTTCACACTGCATCATTCAACCTGTGTTTAAGTATGCGCCATGATCTACAGTGTGGTCTGTATTTATGTAACCTGTTCTGAGTTGTGAATCGCTTGTAGAAAAATCTATACTAATAAATTGTGCATCATTCATAGCATAATTTTTAGTGTGTCATTACAACATAGCTTTATTGCATCATTTACAGCATAAGTACATAATTCATAGCAGAATCTGTTTTAATATGTGCTTATGTGGAAATGAATTATTAACAGCACAACCAATTAAAATGCATTGCAACTGACGTGGTTGAGACAATAATTTATTTCGCTAATAGCAAACATCTTTAGAGGATACAACAGTGAGGTATACATCATGCAATGTTGATTGTGGACTTGATTAAGGGGTAATTGATGCATGTCTGAAAGTAAAATCAGTACATCGGAGTCATTAACCACATTAGACTTTAAAAATTGGCATACAGTCTTTATCAACATTAATGGCAACATTACTTAGATTAATGCAAGGAAATTATAATTTGTTTTTTTTTAAAAGTAATTTATGCACCTGCAATTTTAGTTAAAACACATATTCAGTTCCAACCAAATTGCTGAATTTCGAGCTTAATTTCTAAGAAAATAGAAAATCTTCATTCATTCAATGAAAGTGCTGCAGGAAACTAGGGGAACACAATAACACTCAATCAAAACTTAAACTATCTAAATTTAGATTCTATCATCTAGAACCAAAGTATTACAGTTTTGATTGAGCTAGTTTCGCTAGATAGTGCCAATCAACCTTATAAACTAAACAAGGGCGTTCACTTAAATTTCTTCACGAATTAATTGGTTCCGAAATGTTTCAAATTTCAACTTTTATCTACACTAATTCATAGGATACTTTTGATGGTTATATTCAGGGTGAATATTGGGAGTAGTTAATTTGACCTCTTGCACAGTTTTCTACATTTAATGTATTTTAATTGAGCTAAGATTGCCATGTTAACTTTTTAATTTAAAGTTATCTGCTGGTGAAATCTTGGTCGATTTCATTCCCAGTTACAAAAATAGTCATTTTAAAGAGTGAAATTCAAAGGTTTGAACGACCAATGAAATGGTTATATAAAGCTTATATTTCCTATGTCATGGATTGTACTCAATGCGTTAAAGGGAACCTTTGTAATTTAAATGGAGGTGAAGATTTCAGAACAAAAGGTTTCGATCTTGAAAACGATTGTTTACAATAGCTTCAAAAAGGAATTCTAATGACGTACACACCTAGTGTAGTACGTCATCAAATGTGCACGTGTACGTAATTGGCTGGTTGAATATTCACAACTGGCATATAACAAGTAACACAGATTCAATACTGCAAGAAAGAATGCAACTTAATCTACACAGATAGGTAGTGATCTGAAAGCTGTTTATATTCGTCGAAGCAATGATGTCGGTGAACTTAAAAACACTGGCTCATGTTACTCACAAACCCTACAGTTCTACACAGCTTTTACTTGTGAAAACCGATAGTTTGGGTGGAGTAGGAATATACAAACCAGGGCACTAACAGTCAAATATTCTATACAGTAATTTACTAGCTATTTAGAAAAATGTTAGACACAATTTCAGATCTAGTAAAGGCCTGGCATAAATGCTTCAATTTTCTTTTAGCGTGTGCAGTCTGTCAGTTGACCGACAAAGTAAAGACTTGCAGCACATTGTTGTTACTGAACTGTGCTTTACTGGCACAACAAAGAAGTTCTTGTTTCAAACATATATTTAACATAACAAGTATAAGCAACGCATTAAGAAATAACTTTTCCCTAAATACAATTTTTTTTTGGGAGTATGTAACTGAACCTGATCTGCATACTTGAAAATTATACATACAGAAGCCATATGTTGAATGTATCTGAAATTTGACAGTCTAATGATGCACTGGAGAATATATCAATTAGAAAAACATACATATAAGAGCGGTAGTTCACTGTTATTATTTATGATGTTTATACGAGTTATAAATAGATCATAATATAAAACAACCATCCTTATGATGTACTTCTCTTTAATTTATCATTAAAAATATTCTCCTATCACTATAATTCTAGTTTTCTTTCAACATTCAGGTGTAATTTCTTATAACATTTACAATCACTTGCTTCTTCTATTTTTCTTGGTTACAAGCATAACCCTGTGCTAGGTCACTCTGTTGAATAGTAACCTTTCAACCACTAATAACAACATTTAACTTTTCTCGCAATATACACTGCAAAGTGTTGCTATCTCTTCACAGATCAAAATCACTTTTCTATTCCTTCCATAGTTTTGTTGTCCCTTGTCATTTTATTTTAAGTCATGTACACACATAGAGTTATAAACGGAATATTTATGAAATTTAAATGGTCCCTGTTACAAAACTATTAAAGCAGCCTTCTTGTAAACAAGTGAATCAGTTGTTACTTCATTTCTAGCATGACGAATGACGAACAGTCTTTGCGTTATCAAAATATTTCGTGAGGGGTGCGCCAAGGATACCTTATTAATCACCACCCTTTCATGTACTGTATCAATAAACTGGTAAAGTATTTACATCACAATGCAGCAATATCAGTTGAAAATAGAATGTAGTTTTGAGTGGCCCATACTTGATTTCTCATTTGACAATTTGTCTGTTCGTTTTATCTGCAGTAATAACAGCATTTGTCGCTATTGCATTGGTAACCCAAAAGATAAACATTGCATATATTCCAGCTATACAAGCTATCAAACAATGTTTGGTTGACCGACTGCAGCTTTTTTTTATACTCACAAAACTTTAACATGTGGCGGCCCTTTAGACGTTTTATACCTTACGGGGCATAGTTATCAAGAAAATACATTGTCGTACTCAAACAATGTAAGTTTTTATGCATTTCCACCAAGAAGACTATTATATCAGAAAATTATCTATCTAAATTAATGTGAAGGATACAAGATAATATGCATGTATTTATGCAACATATTGCGTATATAATGTATTCAATCAAATATTGTCCGCTTTGCATTAACATCAAATATGTAAATTTAGTTATGACACATGTTTACAGGTATTTGTGTGCTTTTAAAATAGCTAATTACTGGTTTTATTTTCTAGGCAATTTACATACAATTCTTACTAGATTCTGAAAAAAATCATCAGCGAATTTGAGTGAGAGCAATATTGAAAAGGATGCTCTTTACATTATTCCAAAAAAGGTTCCATTTCATGTAAAGTCCCAATGCACGGACATGTAATCGGTGAAAGGTCTTGTAGTGATACCATATCTAGAAATAATCTCATGAATATAACAAGACTTGATGCTTTCCACACTCTTTTCACACTCACATTTACATGACAATTTGTTTGGTTGCATTTTATTAGAGTGTGTCTTCTTTCATGTCTTATGAAAAGCAAATCAGATGTTTGTTCTCATGTAAAATAAGTCGTGGTTATTTGTGATATACTAATACAGACATTACATTAGTTTTCAATGACATTGTGCAGGCTGTCGACTTGACAAATTATACATACAGTAAATAGCCAAATTGTCGATTGATGTGTTTTAACCCCTTTATTCAGTTATTTGTCGAAGCTTTCAATTCAACAGACTATAGTGCAATATGAGTCAATTGTGTTTACATTCTGAATACACGTTTTCACTTGCAGTCAATCTACATAACAAAGGTACATAAAGGTCGTATCGATGGACATATATCATTATGTCACGTTGACCCAGCTTCCCGCGTAATCATCAGCTGATGAGCGCACGTGCTTCCAATTACGACAATCAAACAGATATCCAAGTCGATAGCAGACGATATTAGAAATAATGTCCTGTTACAGATACAGTGTAGCATATACGAAAAATAATGTACATGATCATGTCAGAAGTTACCATTATATTTAACTAGATAAACCATACTATACATAAACATATACTTCTTAATTTTTCTAAAGACATGTAAAGGTTAAACGTGGGCTGTAAGGAATTCTGTATCACTTGTTGTAGATGGTTTAGATTTCAAAGGAAAGATGCAATAAGCAGGTCTACTTACGTATAATTTGTCGTGTTTTTTGTTGAAGAACGGGAAACTGACTGTTATATTTATTTGACCCGAACCCCCGTCATCCAATGCCGCCGTTAGACTGTCACCGAATGTAGAATTAAAATTATATAAATCCTGTAATGTCACTGCATAAGTACGAATTGGGAACATGGTACAAATTGCTATCAGTAAACACAGTATGCGTAACCAACGAGTACGAGCTCGGCGCTTGCCTGTAAACCAAGCATTTAGACACATTATATTCACAAATTTTCATGAAGATTACTCTTGGTTTTTCACATGGTGGCAAAGTTTTCCAATTCATGTCGTCTGTTTATTAATCAGGAATTCTGTTTGATGGAGTTTCTGCGAGCTACTACAAACAACTGACTTCGACTTGGAATAAAATTGCACACTTCTTGTCTTCATACCTTCTCCATTTATGTTTTAATTTCTGTCCTCCGTTACATATTTCCCTTTCACTTCAAATAATTAACGTAAGGTCACAAATATTCTTGCCTCGCTCTTTTTCTGTATAATGTGTAGTATTCAAGAATAAAGTGTGTATATAACTTCAGTATATTACCGTTACAAATAGGTCACAGGCGCTTCAATGGAAGGCGTGGTCGCTTTTTTAGCCCCTCCAGGGCATTGCACACTTATAATTTTCACGAATAACAAATCCTTAATAATTGTTCTCCACTTATTAAAAATTTGAAATAAATCCGTTGAGTAGTCTCCGAGTTATAGGCCGGGATACCGTCCAAACACCCGGCATCGTGGAGTCTATTCAACCCTTAGTGTGAGTTCATGAATGTGACGTCATATTCAGGGTATCACAGCTTCATTGAGTTATTTTGGTTTCTCATTGGTGAGGGGAGATTACTCGTTTTTGAACGTTGGGTTTCCTTAGACTCGATCGGCAAGTTGTTCATTGGTGAATTAACTGAAATGAAGCGATCAATACAAAGGAGAATATCGTCTCTTATCTTGTTAAGTGTGTAATTTATAATAGAAAGATTATATGCGTGAAAAAGTGTAGCACAATTCGCTCTTTCATTTGAAGATATTAAAACACGACCAAACATAACAATTTGATATTTTCCATTGGCCAAAAAAACAAACATACTAGATATCCGCAGCGCAATGAATATTTTTTAATATTGACATTTTTATTCCCAGATGACCATCAAATAATTTTAAGAACTGTTAAATGCAATCATGTCAAGTAAAATAATTGCACGTTTACATCATACTAGCATGGCATCGACTAATGTGTTCATTTAATATTTTAAATTATAAGTATTCATGAAAAGCAAGAATATTTGTCAATGTTTATTTGTTCCACGTCTTTGAAGTTTCGTTGCATTTCCTGTTCATTGTTAGAAATGCGGGCTGGAAAGTGTGTGCAGTCCGCAGTATGAGAAAATCTTTTATGACGCACAACAGACTGAAAATAGTAGTACAATACATACACTTTTGAAAATACATTGTGTTCCATCGATAACAAAACAATAATCATAATTTCAAATATCGTTTTTTGGTAAAATACTTACTATAACTATATTTGGTCATATTTAAGACCATTAAGGCCATTTTAGAGCCTAACCAGACACGCGACGTTTGGATAAGATTGCAGGTAGTTCTTTTTAAGCCAATATTTCATGACAATTGCAATTTATGTCTCCTTGTAATAGTAATAACTCTATACATTTCTCTTGAACTAAGCTAGACTAAGACAGAAAGTAGAAATCTCAAAATAGGGCAGAACGGAACGTTTTTATTATGTCAGACCTAGAATGGTTTCGCTCAATCTCAGCACTGTCACCCCGTCTGAAAAATACACACCGCTTGTAACAATTTGTCAAGTTGAACGATAATTTCAATCAATATAGTACAGGCATTCGATACAAGTGATCAACAGTAACTTTTTTACCTACTTATTTTGAACGGTTCGCTATCCTGAGTATAATCATAGCATATTATTTATTTTTAGTTAGTTATATAACATTTTGCAGCAAGTATTGATCGCATGATACCTATTTTGTTCTCATAAAGACTTTGTATAAATGGTGACACAAGTTAATCATTTTTTTTTATCATAGTTTCAACATCAATAGGAGCAGTTAAACGCATTAGACATGCTTCAAAAATTTCAACTCCACCTATTTTTTTTTATTACAGTACGCATATATATCATTTACCTCTAAAAAAGGAATATTGTGAACATAATTAAACTATGTTGCAAAACCTGTGTCAATTACACTGACAGAAAGTAACAGTCAGCAGTAATAGAAAGCATTCAGATCTTGATCTGTATATTTTAATGACAATTAGGGTGTTCACTTATGGATCTTTTGACAATTTGAAATCGCTGTTCTTCCAAGACTTTCGTCATAATATATCAGGAACATAAAACAGGACTGAACAGTCTTTTGTATTATTCGTCTTTTTAAAATATATCATTATCCGTTCAGCACAATATCAGACCCTGCTGAAGAACAAAGATATCAGTTTCGTTGGTCTCAACATAAATATGCTAAAATGCAGAGGGCTGAGGATTGATATCAAAAATTCTAAATAACATTCTTGCCTTTTATGATTAATATTTAAATCTTATAAATAATTGATTCATCTCTTAGTCTTTTTTTCAACATTTTGGCTTTACAACAGTTAACTAAGAACGCACAATGATATTATTTACTTGTCCTTTTAGTAAGGCCATTGCTTTCTAAATCTAATTTCAAATAACAAAAACCTCTTCACCTGAAGATGACAATGTAGATTGTTGAAACGTAGTGTGTAATAAAACTAAGGAGTAGTATACCATAAAATTGTGTCCGTTATTTAATGTGATCTCTACCCCTAAAATTTGAATCTGGTTCAAGAAATACTATTCGTTAATCGCTGTAGATAACCATCGTATAATTGATCTTAATGATCTAAAAATTTCAACTCGTTAAAGAAATGTTGGAGATAATATATTAAGTAACTTTTAACGACCAGAATAAGAAACATCGTTACTAGAAGAATTGGGTTAACGCCTTTATTAACAATGTTATGGTAAACGGTGAAACCATCACACACCTAAATAGTTTGTTTGGTATTAAAGCGTGGAGGAAAAAGCGACAGTTTAAAATGGACTGAAATGAACATCATTGTATTCTATGACATACTTTGAAATGGGTCCAAAATGGAAATAAGATTCCCAAATAAGAGAAGTATCCAATTTACGGCCTACCCTGGATTTTTAACCATGTGAAGAAAATCAGACTAATACCCCTTTGAATCAAATTGTCAGATGCCTTAAATGTGGAACTATCGTCAACAATCTTGACACCAAGTGTTACTTTCAAACAATTCCTTGTAAGGCGCGTCAGTAGCACAAAAAAATAATTTTTCGAATGTAGCCCATGAGCACTTTGATTTTGTGAAGGTGTAATAAGAATACGTATCTCATTTCCATTTTCAGCGAAACAAGACACTTTCTAGTGAAATTTTGCGATTTTTAGGTGTTGTTGTTATTTTTACCAGTAAAATAAATTTAAGTTTAATGTTCTTCAATGTTTACAGATTTGCAATAGACCCTTTCTCTCTGATTTGTACATTGACATCAAATGCTATATACAGACTGGAGGACGCTTAAGCAAAATCGTACAGATTATTCATATTCGCCCCTTCAGTCTATGTAATTTCTGACAGTTCTGCTTGTCAGTCCATGTAGATTTCGTATTATCGCCTTGATAACTGTATAAATATTGTACTTCAACTCAAATAGTACTTCAAATAGTACCTGCGCATATATTCTAGGCAACTACTTTTGAAAATTAGACTAATTAGATTTCTTTGCATAAACGTCTGGTTGTTGTTAACCCCAACTTGCAATTCTGACGTGAGTAGTTATCGAGAAGTCTAGCTGTTATGTTTACACAATATTCCATCAATTGGTGTATATCACATATAGAATATGAGATATGGGTGGTACTATGTTGAGAATAACAAGGTCATGAGAATAGGGTCAGGTACAAATTCTGTCCAATTTATACTTTATATACTCATTCAAATACTTGTAAGTTTTCACATTCTTTTCAAGGTAGTAAATTGTGTTTTTTGATGTCATCGTTTGATGAATAGATGGCAAATAAAAGATGTCAGAATTAAAAATTTGAAGGTGATGTCTAGTGGATTACAACAAAACGATTTTAAAAACATGATATCCTCTCTCACATACTTGAAAATCTCAATTTCGAGAGTTGTCTGGCTAACATACCTTCGTTGTACCACAAAAATATGATTAATACCCTTTTATGCCCGCAAATATGCATTTGTTTATTTTATTTTACAGGTAATATAATAATTTGAACATCAGACTCCCAAGACTGGGGGTACGATTGGGGCAGAATAACTAAATGGAAGGGGTGGGGGAGGCAACTGTCGAGACTGAATTTAAAATGCGGCAATTCTGTGGAGAGGGTTCTCTTCAGAAAATTTGAATTGATTAGGTGCATTCTGAAGCATTTGTTAGAGCAAAATCGTATAAAAATCGTCCTTACAAATTTGTCATAAAATAAAGTGCGGGTACAATTGGGTGTGCAAACCAGTTTTCTTAGCCCTCTGTACCCCCACTATTGAAGGTAGTATATTATATTGCTGCGTCAGAACATCTGTCCTCAAAATCTTTTAGTGTGGAATGAAAATGAATGAACGTGATACTGCTTCTACTTTTCTGTGGAATGGCTTCTAGAGATTGGTATTTTTACAATGAAGGTGATTTTCTTGCAGTTTAGAAATTCAAAACAATGGTATTCTAAGACAGTTCCGTCATGCTTGATCTGGAATAAACGAAACCTAAGGTGTCCAATTGGTTATCAGAATGGTGCAAAATATGGCAAAGCCTCTTTGAATCTTATGGGCTGCAAACTTAAGCTTTGTCGCAGTCGATGCAGAAGCTGGATTATTATGACGGATGAATGAATCGGGATTGGTAATAATAAATGTTCACTGTTCACTTATTGCTGGCCCGACACTTCCATGGAATTGTTCAGATTTTGAGTAGTGACTTGCATTAAGGGGATTGTAAAGAGTTTTTCTAAAAATTTTATTTGTATCGGGGACACTGACCGTATCAATTTGCACCATTCCAATTTTCAATCAGATGTCTGTGGTTGCTG